GTTTTGCTCTCTCTCTCTCTCTTCTCTATAAAATATAATATATATATATATATATATATATATATATTAGTTTTTAAATATAATTATATTATGATATGATCATTAGTGCATACTTATATGTTTGTAAGTGTATATGGTTTTTTTGGAGGAAAATAGCCATAGCCTCCTAGTCCTAAGTGTATATAATTGCATATATTTAAGTACACAAGTATGTATGTATGTGTGTATGTATGTATGTATGTATATACTTGTAAGTATACAAGTGTATTATATTATATACTTACACACACAAACATATCACGGTATAGGTACTAGGATATAAGTATATATAACGTAGTTATAAGTATACTTATATGTGTATATTATAGACTTATAGTTATATAAGTAAATATTATATATAAGCACATAAGTAGAATTATATAAAAGTATATTGCATCTAGTATATAAAAAAATATTGTCATATAAGTAAAGTATATAACTATACTTAAATAAGCATAATATAAGTATGCAACAAATACATATATAACTATATAATATGTATTTATAAATAAGTAATATATACTTATGTGATGCTCTCTCTCTCTCTTAAGTTATAGCTTATAAGTGTATACAATATACTTACGTATAATATATGTATATATAATATATAGCTATATACTAATATGTAAGTATATACTAATACATACTTATATAAATATGATAAGATTAATCCAATTTTTCAGCAAATTTTTGCCCAAAAAAGAAAACAAATAAAAAATAAAAAATCCAGGCTGGCCCGGGCCCGACCTGGGTACTCCGGGTGCAGGCTAGGCATGGGCGGGCTGGGCTGGCCCGTTTGGACATGCTGAGGCACGCCCATGTGGTAACCCTTTTGGAATTCACAGGATTTCCCCATCAAGGAAGATGATTTTCTCCCTTTTTGGTGACCATTCTCTAGCACGTTGAATGCCCCTCACCCTCTCTTTCCTCCATGGGAGTGCCCTTCAGCACGTGAGACTCATGCACACATGTACAAAAAATTTAAGGGGAAAAATGCAGCACCATGTTTCTCTTGTTAACCTGCATGTTTTTAGAATGAAGCAGAAGATATAAGGTTACATAAGTTCTTTTCCTTTCATATAGCACAATAACTAACCTTCTATGTTGTGTTTCTTTTCTGTAACACAGATAATTGAACAAACAAAACAGAATGTTGAAAAGAAACATTCTTTGACATTTGAGGAAATAGAAGCGGAACGTGAAGAGGTAATATGCCTTTGATTGCTGATTTCTTTCTTTTTCTCCATTTATGTTGTGCATATATCTGGGTCAGTATTTAGATTCTCTATTCAGTGTTTGTGATGCTTTTCTGTTTGTATACACATTGGTAGTAACTAATATGTTTGGTTGAATCGGGCAGGAAGAGGTGCAGGCTGATACAGAAAGTGATGATGAGGATCAACAGATATACAATCCCCTCAAATTGCCTATGGGTTGGGATGGAAAGCCAATCCCCTATTGGCTATATAAACTTCACGGCCTTGGCCAGGTACCTAAAAATAGCACATGTCAACTGTTTATATTAGGCCCCAGTTGAAATTATTTTATGTAATTCATCAATGATTTTAGGTGATTCTACTTTGTTCTGTTGCTTCTAACGTGCAATATATTTATTCACAATATCTCTCTCCTGAAACAAGCTAGCTAGTAGAAATGGCCTTAACTGAACCATGTTATATTTCCAACCGTGGTATCATTTATTACTTTGACATGTGCATGTAAATCACTTGGTTCATGTTTATTTTCCATACTCGAATAAGGGTAGGGAGAAAATAATTTTGAAGATAAGTTGCCGGACTGAATCTTGTGTTGTGTGGATGTCATGTTCCTTGTGGACACAAAGTATAGGCGAGAAAGAAGCTGCTATAGTGCTTGGAGGACTGGTTGCTGCCTTAGTTTTTCTTTCCTTTTTCTTTTTTTTTTTGTTTGGAGTTGATCTAGGGTTAAACTTCGAAACATAGGCACAAAAGAGCCAATTTGGAACATATCTGACAAGGTGTAGAATTTGGACTCTGTAAGCTACTATATTGATTAGCAATTATACTTTCTGGTTGCTTACTTGGCACAAGTAGTTCAACGCTAAATCTTGTTAGATTTTTATGAAGCCTTATGTCTCATAGGCTGACCCCAGTTTGATTGGAAAAGGGCTGACTGATTCAATAATCTGACTTTTTCCCCACAGTGGGTCATCTCTTTTCTTCTTCACCCTTTTCAATATTGTACTACTTCGTTGTTTCAACTCTGTTAAAGATGAAATTTGGCACCAACACGCTCCAGCGAGATAATTTTTTACTTTTTCTTTTCTGTCACAGTTATCTGTTCTTACCTTTTATATATTGTTAAGCACGGTCTGAACATTCTAGTAGTACAAGAAGTACCACCTCTTCATGATATTATTTTCCGTACTAAGTTACCTTTGAACATCTATTTACTGTTTTCATCTGCACTTGTTTCAGGAATTTAAGTGTGAGATATGTGGCAACCACAGCTATTGGGGTCGCAGGGCCTTTGAGCGGCATTTCAAAGAGTGGAGGCACCAGCACGGGATGCGTTGCTTGAATATTCCTAACACGAAGAATTTCAACGAGATTACTTCAATTCAGGTACCTTCTCTTTCAGTACACTCAAAACATGAATGTGCAACTGCACTCAAGTGCTCATACACACACAAAGTCACAAACACACATGTACACAGACTGACCTGTAGGCATAAACTGACACCCATTATCGATCCAGCTGGTATATTACATCCCGTCTTAATGAGATCGATTAAAATTTCACGTTCATACTTGACATCAAGTGTAGGGACTTGACCCATTAATCTGTATCTGATGTACAGATATTTGTGACTAGACACATTAATCTGTATCTGATATACATATATTTATTGACCCTGTGCCTCTTAAGAATGAACAGTAAGTCGGTAACTGTAACGGCTGTGTACTATTTTAAAGTTGAATTATGGACTTGGCAAACAAGGGATCATAAAATGTTATCAGTTATGTTAATTTGCTAAGAATATTTTTTTTATGATCTTTTGACTAGCTAGTAAGTTACCAAGTTAGTGGGTTGATGCAATAACTTCAACATGGCTCTCTACAATCCTCTTTATGTGACTCCAACTTAATTCGCTGCTTATGATGTTAGGCAATACGCGGGGATAACATATACCAAAATGTGGTTACGTTGCCTCTAAATGTCAAGATAGGGACATAATTTGATAAAACTCAGAACTTACGACTATCACATTTTTACAGTGAACGTTTACGCAGGGGGACATCCCGATCCTCTCGTAGTTCATCTTGTGATTGTCGATTCCCGTTTATTATGCTCAAGAGTCGTTACCTTTTTAAGTGCATTTTTAATATCTTTAGCTGCTCCAGTGGCCTAAAATGTAATTGTAATCCCTCTTGACGCGTGGATTAATCTATACGTCTCTATTTTGTATGAGCACAGGAGGCAAAGGATCTCTGGGAGAAGATACAAGCACGGCAAGGAGTTCATAAATGGCGTCCAGACCTCGAAGAAGAGTACGAGGACAAAGAGGGCAATATCTATAACAAGAAAACGTACACCGATCTCCAACGCCAAGGCCTTATCTAAGAAGACATATTACTCCCTCGTAATTGAGCATTTATGGGTAGTTGTGAATGCAGCATTTTGTCGAAGGAGAGGAGAGCAGACGATGTTGCCTCGATCTTTTACTTGAAATTCTGTATAAAAGCTCAACGGCTTATTAAAGTTTTATTTGTTGTAACAAAAACCTTCTGTCTTGCGCTCGTTTAATCTTGTCACTGACTGACACTAGGGTTGTATTTGAAGCTTGCTGAACTTGCTTACGAGTACATTTAACGTTTTTCTCTAATTTTTGCTACATGTGTTTTTTTTTAAAAAAACTGCTAGCTGCTGATAAACATGAACTTTTTCGCATCGGTATCGTGGTTGCATGCTTGATTCTGGGAAATGAATGGCTGGTAATATTGGGTTGCTGCTGATAAACATGAATTTGGTCTCTTTATTAAATTTTTACGTAATACGATTAATTGCCCTCAAAGTATGATGAGAGAGCCTAAATACTTTTTATTTGGAAATAGTCTGGAAAGATTCATATAATTTCTCGCAGAGGACTCTATGTATTTTACAGATGCTAGAGTTCCGATTCAAAAAGGTAAAATCTGAGAAATATTCTGTAGTCCAACGCAAGCTGAACTGGAGGGGCCAAATTGCAAGTGCCCTTACAATTTTAGGGAGCTATCAGGAATTAAAATGAGTCGAGGGCTAATAGAAAAATATGCTAAGATTTACCTAGAAGCAGAAGCAGATCCCAAGCCGACCGCTCCCGCCACAACAGCTCACCTCACTTCAGCAACCACCAACTGAAAACCTAATAATAATAAATAATCCCCAGTTTCGATCTCGAAATGCTCGATTCGTAGCGGATCTCGTCCCGATCCCGCCCCGGCCGACCGCGATGACCTCCACGCGCCGGCGGCGGTGGCGCCAGCCGCCGGCGTCGACCTCGCCGGCCTCCGCCGCTGGGTCCTAGGGTTCTGCATCATCCGCTTCGATCTCGAGCAAGCGCAGACCGTCGAGGTCTGCTTCCCGCGAGCTCCTTCACCGACGACCAGCAGCTCCTCATCGCCTTCTCCTCGTTCCCGATTCAATGCACCAGGCCGCCACCGATTCGATCCTCGACTCCATCTTCACCTTCAGGTTCCCGGCGAGCTCCTCTTCGTCTAAGGCTACGTCTTCAACGCCAGCGGCACGGACCGAGGGCTCGCCGCGGCGGCGACCAGCGATCCGTCGTGATCGCTCTCGCATTCCCCGTTCTCGTCCGTGCTTCTCCCTCTGCTGCAGCATCCTCGCTCCGCTGTCGTTCGATCTCGGGCCGTTGCAGGCCCTAACCTAATCGCCCGCCACGTGTCGCTCTGGCGCCCCCCGTCGCCAACCAAACCCTAGAACTCCCCCATTGGTTCGTCGGTGCTTCGGCTTCGGCTGGCCTCCGACCGATTGCCCCTTCGCGGAGTCGCCGATCTTTGTGCCCTTCGCGGGGGCTGCTGTTGCATCTGTGGACTCTTGGGAGCTCATGCTGCTCGGCGACCCGATCCTTGTTATCGCCCCGACGCCGACGCTTTGCTCGCGAGGCGCGTGGCTGCCCTCGTCGCATTGTTAGCCCCCTCAACGTGGCTGTCGACTTAGGCCTTATTTCACTATCCACGACCCCGATTTTGCACGACTGAACTCCATTCCGAAAGGCCACCCGTTTCCCCCGATGGTCCTCGGTGTCACCAATCTCTTCTTCTTGAAATCGCTCGCCGCCGTCCCGCATGTGGTTTCGGTCGGAGCGCCGCCACCGCAGAATGCGGGTGCGCCTGCGGCAGTGCAGACGAGGTTCTCTCCTGGTGGGTTCTTGAATAAGGTGAGGATGAAGAGGGAAGGGCCACTGTGCTTGATGACACAGCATAAAGAGGCGATTTTTAGCGGGTATGTGCCCGTGACGAAGCCTGACACTGGGGTTCTTAATAGGTTGGTGGACGCTGGGACGGCGCAGAGGATTGAGGAGTCTATGGCTGTTGTGAATAACGATATATTGAGACGGCATTTTGTGGAGCTTACGACGAATTTTCTTGCTCCTTTTGGGCCTTATTTGAGGGCTTCCGCTCCTTTGGAAGGGAGTTCTCCTTTTGTTGAGCCGACACAGTTGCCTCAGTTTCGGGTTGATGAGTTTCTTAATGGCCTTGCAGAGAGAGGGCCCGGGAAGTTCTTGGCTAAGAGGATGAAGTCCAATTGGCTTGATTTGTATAGGTGTGAAAAGGACAGATTTTTATTGGGTTCTTGAGTGTGTTTTGCTTGTTGTTGATTGGTTTTGACCTTTTTCTTTTCAGACGGTTTTTGGAAGGGAAGAATTTCATGTCATGGTTCCAGAGCAGGCGAGCTGCTGCGGAGCAAGAACAGAGGAAACTGTATAGGCAGGCTCGAATCAACTGTGATATACAGAAGCTTATATCAAGAATGTCTGAGGTGGAGATTGTTGATTCCTTTAATGCTATCGAGCGGCATTTGCTTGCAGAGATACAGGTAACATGGAACTTGGAAGAATGTTGATTCTTTTAATGAATTTGATGTATTATGATGTATCTTGATGCTTGATTTGGCATCATAGTTTCTGTCGCTTATTAGAATATCCTTAGCCTGTAATTGCTTCTTACACTTTGACCTGTCAGAGGCACTCCACTATGGAAATAACTTTTAGCCAATCCAACTGGGGACATCCTCAGTGAATGTGATTGTAATATCATTTCGATTAACTGCCCTTACGGTTTTTAGTAGGTCTTATATTACGCTTTCAATGAAAAACATCAGCTAATTCCTAAATTACAATTAGAATGCCCAGACATTCATTTCCCCTCAGCATTCGCCTACGCACTGTATGTTCCATAACTCTACCTTAATCGATGAAACTTCTTTGTTATACTAGCCGCATTGTTATCGAGGCGCAAGGCGCAATGCGGGGTGCAAAGGCCCGTTACGCGCACCATGCGCAAGGCGCACAACGATGCGTGCGCCTCACTGAATTGAGGCGCACACGATGCGCGCGCCTCACTGAATTGAGGCGCACAACTCAAACTAATATTTTCCAACATAAGACAAAGAAGCATATATAAGCAACATATTTATAAATTTTCACATAAAAAATAAAGAAATATAATTTCACTGACTAAATTACGAAAGAGTCTTAATTAGCATGCATAACATAGAGAAGTTCATAAGTTTTCACAAATCACAATGCAAGATAATCTCTAACATAAGCAAAAGTCTATGAAACAAAACAAGCAAGTAACAAATAAGAAATATGTATTTTCATTTAAAATATGATATATGTATTTTAAAAAAAAACATGATTGTTCATAATTTTCTAGTTAGCATTCTTAATTGCTATTTGCTAGTTAGCATGAAAAGATAGAGAATGGAGGTAACAATTACATATTTACATGTTCATAATTTTCTAGTTAGCATGCTAATTAGAGAAGGAAGTTACAATTAGCAAACAAGTATATTAAATTACTAATTATTTTTTTTATAGGTTAAACATAAAAAGATGGAGAATGGATTAGCAACTAGCAAAAAAGAGTCTATTACATAATGTAAATATGTAATATGTAAATTATTTAAAAAAACAGAAGAAAGTCTATTACATGACGCAGGTGTCAAGCACCCGCTAGGAGGACGCGAGGCGTGCGAGGCGCACACGAGGCGCGCGCCTCGTGTGCGTGCAGCGTCCTGCCTCTGGTGCGGGGCGCAATTGCCCCAGCCCGCAGCGCCCCACGCCCGGGGAGCGCGTCTCGATAACAATGAATTACTAGGCTACTTCATTTGAACTTACATTCTTTGTGCACCCTTGAGTTGGTAATGGAATGGGAAACTATAAAGTTACATAAAATGATTTAATGAGAAAGCCCAAATGTCAAATAAACTAAAAAGTCTTTAAGACATGAAAACAAATGTTGAATAGGACATTATGCACTAAAGACAGAAATAAACTAATTAGTTAAAACATGAAAACAAATGTTGAATAGGACATTATGCACTAAAGACAGAAATAAACTAATTAGTTAAAACATGAAAACAAATGTTGAATAGGACATTATGCACTAAAGACAGAAATAAACTAATTAGTTAAAACATGAAAACAAATGCTGAATAGGACATTATCCATTAAAGACAGGAATGAACTAAAGAAATAGTGTGGCTGTGCCTAATGGATACACGTTGAAATCATGCAACAGATTTATTTACAAGATGATTAATGAAGACAGGAAAGAAAAACCTTGTTATGATTTTGTGTTATGAAAATACATAAAAATGAAAAGATGTCATTCCTAGAGAGTGAATGTAGATTATAGGAAAGAGCCGGACTGTAGAAGTTCTATCAGTGGAACTTACTTGGTCACTGCTTAATGAATTTGCTTAACAATCCACAAGCTTCTATCCCCTTATGAGACTGGTCACTGTCATTTCCAGTGTCTAGCAAGTGTGGAACAACCAGCTATGAAATGAGTAGCACAATAAGAATACCTGATATTAATCCATGATCTGCTGCTTTCAACTTCCTAAACTAGATGAATCATTGTTCAGAAAACCTGCTGTTATCCGGTCATTACAGATCTCTGCACTTTGTCCTTTATGTTCTCACGATAGTTGCAATGTTGTCATATTTTGAGTTTTCCTAGCATTTTAAATGAAGTGAAGCACAATATCCGTATCGATTATCAGGATTTCATCCATATCATCGATCATCGTCGTGACATTTCAAGGATAAAGGAACTTGGTTAGCTCATAGCACCTGTTCTTGTGTGTGTACCTGCTTATTTACCAGTTTAGTAGTTATTATTGTCTTATTTGTCCTGACATATTGATGTATTTGTTGAAGGATGTTAAGGTTCAAGTTCTCACTTTCCTGATATACGTTGTGAGCCCATAACTGATTACTTTCTGCCAGGAAATAATATAAATCTGCAAGCTGGTTGACAAGATGAAGTGCTGTTTTGTTTAACTATTAAGTAGTTATATCCATTTGTCATTGCCCTCTCAAACTTGTCTTTAGTACTTAAAAGAGCTTTATTCTAAGTGCAGAAGGCTGTCATTTATATGCTTAATTCCTTTCAACTCTAATTACATTTCTCAACCATTCACATTTGTCTATAATATATAGTTTTGAAGTGGAGCCCAAGCTTTCTTGTGAGGATTGTGTAAAACCATTTGAGCTTATGAAAATACAAAATATACTAGAATGCTCATCTGATGAAGCATGAACTACTTTAGGTTAAAAGAAACTGAACTGCGATATAGATAATCTATGATTACTTTAGGGAAATGGTAACTTTCTTAAGCATGGTTTACATCTAAAGCCACAACAAAGGGATAGCACTGCTTCAAG